GAGTGTAGAATCTATTCGAACAGCCATCCATGTAGCTTATCCATATCTTACTCTGCATGATAAATGAATATTTCTCCCCTTTTCTGCTCCGCTGAAGAAAGGGGAAAGTGGCAACTGCATTTCTGAGGGTAGTTTAAGTTACACAGCAATTTTGGCTCTTGTTTGGGGGTCATGAAGAATTTACCCGTATCGAATGTTGAACAGCTGTTGAATATTCCATCCTTCCAAGCAGTGTCATGGGTTTGGGGGGTTTTTTTTGCTCAGCCAGTGATTTGGCATGGGATTCTAACTAGATTCAGTCCTGTGAACTGAAAAGGCAGCATTCATTTTTATCATGATACGTATCTCCGTATGGCAAGACATGATATTTTCCTATTCAAGTAATGTGATATTACCATGAGAAGCGTTACCTTTTATGGCTTAGTCCCATGTGATTCTGGGCTCCCTCAATTCTAATTTACTTTAATAGGAGTGGATGGTATTTCAGACCCCCTCGGCAGGTGCTTCTCATCTCACAAGGTCAGGTTCTTCATTTGAACCATTGTATTCTATGGGTGAACTCCTTACCTGAGAATTCCCATCCACTTAAATATAACAGGAGCTATCTGCTTATATCAATTTTATAATCCTGGCTTTATTAATTGAAAGTAGTGCTTAAATAACCATTTTTGTTTGCAAGTACAGTTGAACATTATATGAGTACTTAAAGACAGTAGTAACCTGTAGCAGGTTGTCTCTCCTTTAGCCCAGTCCAGGAGCCAGACCTTCATAAAGGCCAGTCAGCTCTTAGTGTTAATTTCCAGTCTGCTTTTTTTACATTTGGAAAGCTTACCCCTGCCCAAACAAAGCAAACAACAACAAAAGCAAATGTGCAAATAACAAACAAAAGTACACCCTCTGGTCTTAGACCTAGAGAGAGAGGCAACTCAGGCTTTGGGCTTTTCCCTCAGCATATGAGTCTCCTGTCTTTCCCTCAGCTAACCTCCCTGGGAGCTTTTAACTTTCCGTAGGGCCAGCCAGTCATCCCTGTCTGCAGGCCCAGTGCTCTTAGGTAGGCAGGCTATTCCCTCTACCCCCTGCAGCTGGGTTCTAGCCCCTGAACCATGCACCTTGTTACGCTAACCCTTATTCACTGTTGTGGTTGTTGTGTATATTTGAGTATTCAGAGTCCCCATCAGTCCTTCCCAGCCTTTGCTTGGACCGGTTATCATTATTTATTTTTTTTGTTCTGTGTTTTGATTTAAGCCAGCCAGTGATGCATATTTCAGCATCCTGTGTGATAGTTTTATGAACATAAGGGACCTTTTAGGGAGCTAAGTAGAATTATTTATTTGGTGACATTGTTTAGAGTAGAAGCGACTCTATCATTGAAATATCACCCATATATTGGCTTAATTCCTTTGATTTTATTATTCTTTTTGACTCTGTATTACACCAAAAAAAAGCTTTTTTATAGTTTCCATCCTCTTGCTAGTGGCATGCAAATGCTAATGGAAGTTATTTGCCTTATGCAAAAAACTAATAGCTACATGACATGAAACGTCAGAAAAGATCAATGCTCCCATCCAGTTGAAAGGCCAATCAGACCACATGGTTGAGGTGTGACATAACAGTGAAATGTCCTGTCTTGAATAATGAGAGTCTGACAAGCTGAAGAGCATCTTCTGTTAAGCTGGGTGCTGCACAAATGCTGAAGAACAATATTTATATTTTCAGAAACATTTTCTGTAAACATGAAATTTTTTTGCATACTTCTGAATTAATCCCTTTATGATATACATTTTTTCCTGGCATTTAGATATTCCCACTAAAAACAAGGGGGGAACCTTGCAAAAACGTAAAGAATTGCATTTAAAGAAGGTTGAAGAGTGTTTCTGTTGACAGAATCAGTGGCTTCTTTTAGATTTGCATATGTTGTTACCAAAGAGTGATTTGAATCTGTGGTGAGTTGATTATCCAGCACTGATGCCTGATTGCACAGGACACTGGGATTTTATTGATATGACTGAAATTAACAAAACAGCACATGCATGAGAAGACATCCAGAACAGAAAGGATTATCTGTCTGTAGCTGCTACATGCAGTGTAAGAGTTTCCTTTGCACAGTGAAATAATGATCCCTCCTGCCACTCCACTGGCTCCTTCCTAGTAATCTAAGCTCTGAACAAATAGTTTAATGCTGCACTTGTGTAGTCAGTGATGCACAAGAGAATTTCACCCACAAAATTGATTAAAAATTGGCTAAGTAATATGTCTCAGTATGTAATTGCTAACAGGGAATCATTGAATGCCTGTATTTCTAGTGGGGCCAGTGCTTTGGTTTATACAATTCAATATTTTGATCAATGACTTGGTGAAAAAAACCAAAGTCATGGCTGATAAGATTTGGAGATTACAAAAATTAAAGTAGGGCAGGTTGCTGATACAAGGCGATTTGTGTTACTTGTTAAGCTGGGTACAAGCAAGTTGTATGCATTTCAGTTCAGACATCTAGGAGCACAGCAAAGCTGTGAAGTTCTTACAGCATAAGGCTTTCTGTCCTGGGAAACAGTGCTTCTGAGAGAGACTTTTGGTCTCTTGATGGAGAATAAGCTCACCTTGAGCTTCCAGTATGATCCTGGGATATGCATGAGACAGTAGAAGTTGGCAGTGTCACTATTTTTTGTTGCCCTTGGAGAATAGGACATAATAAAGACTATCAATATTTTATTAACATCATAGTTTAATTCTGTCTGTTAGTTGAGCAGCCTGCCCTACCATAAACAAAAGCAGATGTGTTCCATGTGCCATCGGTACAGCTGAAGACGTGTTTTATTTAGGGCCTTGGTACTGCGCATGTGTGTATAGCAGTGAAAATTGTCCTTAGTAAACTTCATGTAGACTTCATCCCTTGAGACCACTTTGAAAACAACAGTTGTGGAAACAAACCCAACCTAACTCTTTTTATCAGTATTATTGTTAAGTACTGTGATAAATATTTAAAATAAACTTGATTCAATCTGATGAAAAGACCTCCTGATGTTATTACTAGAGATGAAACTAAGCTGCAAAGTGGATCCAGATCTAGTGTTGAATTTTCCCAAAGGTTGGGAGTGCTTAAGATCAAGGAGTTTTGGTTTGGGGACCATATGACATAGTTATATGCTGCAGACAAAAAGGTCCACAAATATCCAATTAATTTTTAGCACAGCTCACTTCAGCCTTGCCCCTTTTTATGTTGGCATTCTGTGAATATTTGAGTGATCAAATTTCATTGGCACAGTTGCTCACAGAAAGGGATCTCATGAGAGGAAATTAACTGTGGAAACTGATTTTAACTTCCCCCATGTACTTAGACACCATAAATATACCCTAAGTACTAGCTTATTTATCCACTAAAGAAAACAAGTTATGGAAAAAAGTCATAAAGTTATGACTTTTCTGGCCAGTTGCAACTAAGCTTGATTTTGTTTGGTTTTTTTGTTTTTTTGTTTTTTGTTTTTTTTAATGTATAGACATGCTTGCATGTGCATGCTTCATTTCATAATAACCAAGGCTAGGGACAGACATTCGAAAAGCCTGAGCCTGAATTGATTCAATCTTTGCAAGTTAGTCTAATCTGCAAAGTTTTAACTGGTTTGGAGGTGGATTGACATTCCCTTTTTCACTCCAGAAATGCAGGCACATGCCTTCAGTGGCTTAGGCTAGAAGCCAGGGGGTGCTACAGCACCGCTCAAGGGGTGGGAAGTTTTGCCAGACCCTTCATCTGTCGATGATGCTTAGCTTTTCAATCTCCCTCTCCCTGCTTCTTTGTACTGTCTGCAGACCAGGTCATTTCTAGCACCTTTCTCTGTTCCCTCTTGAAGACTGACAGATTGCAGCCAGCAGGTTGTTTGTCAGAACAAAGTTTATCAGCCCATCAAGCCCTACATAAGAAAACATGTCTCTCATTAGTTTAAAGCTCTTCTTATCTTCAGGGTGCATTTGCATGTGCAAGCCACTAGCTGTCTGCCCTTTGTTCCAGTGAAATTGGAGACCCACACAGACACCTCTCAGCAGTAGCTAGCATGGAGGACCTGGCATCTGGCCATGCCCCCCCTGCCATAGGAGAGAAGCTGGGGGGGTGCTACAGCAGCCCTCCCCTTCCATAGTGCTGCGCTGAGGAGGCAGGGAGTGGCCAGGGAGGGAGGGGGGATCCCTGCTTGAGCATCCAGGGGGGCAGGGGGAAACCTGGCAGTCACTGCAATTCCTCAGCCAGCTGGAGCAGTGATAGTGCTCTGGCTAGAAGGGGAGGGCCAGGGCCAACCTTGGTCTGCTCCAGCAGACAGCCCAGCCTACTGCTGCAAAGCATCTGGAATGCTGGGGGACTCTAGTTTAATTTAAACCAGGAAGGGGTTTGGGATAGACATTGCATAAACTGCTTTGACCCAAATCAGTTAAGTCTGATACTATATTCAACCAGGTTTATCTTAAACCAGTTTCAGCCAGTTTGAATCTGGTTTATGTGCACTGAACTTATGTGCTGCTACAGGTTTAAACTAGTTTCTGATCAGTTAAACTGGTTTATATGTAATGTCTGTACCTAGCTCAAGTGCCTCAGTGACTAACACAACAAAACTCTCCTTCCTCATCACATTCAGGAATATCTTGGGAAACAATGGAAATTTGTCCTTGTTCCCCTTACTTCTGTCCTTTGCTCAAGTGTTTGTAGACTCTGAGAGGAAAATTAGGCACAGAAAAAAGAGTTGCATTTAATTCTGTGGAAGTTTGGGAAATTTTGAGCAATATTACTCACGGTCGAGTAATTGTGAGCAGCTTATAGGACCATATATTTTACGTCTCCAGTACTGTTGGATAAGGAGTAAACTTTCCTCATATGTTTATGATTCTGGAAAGAGATTTTTTTAAAATGTATTTCAGGGGTGTTTGTGACTGGCTTTCCCAGATCTGTTTGTTTGGCTTATTACAGGGCTTGCAATATATTTCTAATGTGTTGATGAGATTTCCTTTCTCTGTTGTAGATTATAGGACTGGGCCATGCTTCACTTTGATAACCAATCAGATGTGCCAGGGACAACTCAGTGGAATAGTCTGCACCAAAACCCTTTGCTGTGCGACAGTTGGGAGAGCATGGGGTCATCCTTGTGAAATGTGTCCTGCTCAGCCGCATCCTTGCCGTCGAGGTTTCATTCCAAATATTCGAACAGGAGCCTGTCAAGGTAAGTGAGCAGGAAAGCTTCACCAAGAGCTGCTGAAATTATTAATGGATTAATCTGAATTGAGTTATATTGCTATGCATAACCTGTCCCAAGTCATTCTCTGCTATATGTGGGAAGAATGGAAAAACCACGTCAGATATATTACTTCATGATTCACTGAGTGCATGATGTTCAAGTTAGCGCATTAGTAACTTGGGTCAAGTCAGAGCAGCCAGGTTCTTAATGAATTTCTCACTGCCAACAGTTCCTTTCTTTGGTTGTAATGATGTTTCTCTATAGGCGCAGTACTTCTGTACTGGTCCAGGAAGGGGTGTAGACTGTTTCAAAAAGTACTCAAGATGCACAGAAAACCAAATCTGTGAAGATATTCCTCTCTGTTAATCTTTTTTTTTTTTTTAAATACAATCTGTTGGTTTTGGATTCTGTCTGCAAGTCTTATCTCTTGAGCTATGCTGATTTGACCTTAAGAGAGCTGAATGTTATGCCATTTAAAATACCTTATTATATATTTTATACAATTTTTTGAAAATACATTTTGTGTTGTGGTTCAAATCATAAAATCTACCCAGATGTTGCTTACTTCTTTCTGAGCATGCTTCACCATAGAAAGTCCTTACGCTGCTTTTGGCTTTTATTCTAATACTTCCAGCTGTATAAATTCTTTTATTGTCTGGATGTCTGGCAGGAAACAGGAGAAAGTTAACAGGGGCAGCTATGTATTAAGCTGATGTGGATTATAAATTCCCAGGACCGTATCTTTGGGACTAGTTCATTTAGCCCTCTCTTAAGTTTTTTTAACGAGTTACAATATTTTTTGAGAATAAAAGAGATAAAATTAGGACTAGATTTACAATCTTTTATTTCATCATGAAATTCCCACGAAGAACTTCAAGGCATTCCATTGCATTAAAAAATTTAGACATCTAGTATCATGGGCCAAGTCCTTGTCTGGTGCCTGCAAACAGGCATAATAAACTTTGAGATGAGCACAAATGCTAATGCTGCTTTGGTAGGGTCCATGATATACCTGTGTTTTGACCTCAGCCATCCTATAGCATGGTTCCCTTCACTTTCTACGTGTGGGGCTAAACTGTGAGGAAGGCTGTGTATTAAGGTTACTGACAGGTCGGGGACTATAAATGCATAACTATGTGGGCTGTTGTGCTATGCCTTGTTATGCCCCTCTATTGTTCCTGTCATCGAGAGATTGCAAAACAACCTCTCTGTTCTGCATGGTTCAGAAAAAGGCTCCTTCTGCTCACTGTACGTTTTCGTAGCATGCAACTATATGCATGCTAATGCATACACAATGCCAAGTCAGTTTTGGCCGTGTATGTTTGACTTGTACTTTCCAGTTGATCTATTCTCCTGTAATGTGTTCATAATTTCAACAGACCAGCTAAGAAACCACATATTAACTTTATTTTTCATACGATTGTACTAAATCCAGCCCTTTTGAAATTAGATAACATCCATTCAGACTGAAGACATTTCAGGGATTTCACATCCATATTCAATCTAAATAGTAAAATGAAAGAAGGTTAAATAAAATCCAGGTTCTCTGAAGGAAGTAACGAGCCCCTGCTTACTGTGTGGAAAAGTCAGTTTTAAAAAAAAGGACAAGATTGTTGCCCACAATTTGAATCAGTCTGTCTGACTTGTTTAAACAATGCAGAAAAGTAAGTTAATGAAGTATTGTAGTTGAGATTAAGATCAAGAAGTCAAGGAAATTAAACCTTGCAGGTTGCAATTTTGAAAATTGCCTAAATGACTTGGTGCTTCTGGTCCAGCCTGCAATAGCATGGGGCCCCCAGGACAATTGTGGGTAAAACCTTCCATGGCTGCCTGGCTTCTCCTCTTCTCTGAGTAGTGGTTGCTGAGCCATTGGCCATAGCCAGACTTTTTTTGCATCATAATATTTAGAGTAACTTTTGCGTTTAAGATGGATAGGCCTGAAGTGGACATGCCCTTGACATTTCCTACCTGCAGCACAACATTACTTTTCCAGTTTAATTTTTCCAAGAGTCAACATTAAATACAAGGGGGCAGGGTTGGGGAAGGAAGACAAAAAGCCAGGTACAAAATGTCTAAGTGAGATCATTAATATTTGGCATGATTTCTACCTGGACCTAGCTGCTTCTTATTTAAGGGTAGTTGGCATCTTGTCATATTGGAGCAAAGAATGAATTAGTCCAGGGGTTCTCAACCAAATCTGACCCCCAGCACCGGGGGGCTCTGCATGGATCCTGTGGGGAGCTCCACCATGTGGCTGTGTGTGCTAGATGGGGTATAGCAAGATGATATGGGGCCTGATTCTGGCACTGGGCAGAAGGGTACAGGGCCCTGGGGTCGGACCCTTGTGTGCAGCAGGTGTGGTGTAGGGCCTAATCTGGCCCATCAACTGGCCCCACATGAGTCTTCTGGCCCATGGGACCAAAAATATTAGCACCACTGAATTAGTCCCATCAGTAATGAAATGCTTACTTCCTGATAGGAGGAAAGAGTCCTTCCATACACT